CCCGATTGCTGCTCCCTTCAATTGGTGTACAGGCACAAATTTTTTTCGAGTGGCCCAGGTTCGCATGGCACAGTTAGGCAGCATCCAATTGCTTAACTTTGGCATAAAATTGCACATGTAACAGATGTTGGCAGCCGATGCCAGCTGTGGCCAAGTTTACAAGTTGTATGTGTGCGGTTGTATGTTTTAGAGTTATTTCTGAAGTTGCATAACTTTGCATGGGCACAAAAACAAACCCATAAGTACACATGTATGTACGTATGTATGTATGTATACATGCAACCATTTACATATGTACATATGTATGTACAAAACTATTGTGTGCATGCTTTTAGGTTTGCTGACTGTTGCAATTTGGACCTGGGCGTCACGGATTGATGTTGACTGCTCAGTTTGTTTATTGCTGCAGCCATGGAAACGTGTCGCACTTGTGCAAGGTGCGATTTCGAAAATGGCAACAACTATTGGCTGGACATGTTCCATCCAACGCGTTGGCAGAGCGAGATGGCGCAAATACGCTTGGAGTTTGTCAACTGGAAGTTACAGGTGAGTCTACGTTGCAGCTGCCATAAAAAAAAGAAGCTAAAAACATCATGGAAAATCCAATTTGTGAAAGTTTGTGCGTTGCATTTTAATTAAGCTTTTGATCGTGCAACGGCGCGTATTCGTTATCGATAACATTCATTTATCGGTTTATGCAAATGTAACGTATTCGTATGCGTGCATGTAACGTTTATTCGTTTAAATTAGCGATTGCAATGAGAGTGTGTGCGTGTTTGATCGTTGCATGTGTATGTGTGCTGTATCGATAAGCGAAATATAACTGTTTTTTTTTTCAAATGTACTTGATTTGATTAGCAAATGCTTTGAGTGGAGTTCGACAAGTTTGATTCGTGCAGTGATGTCTGCTGTATTAACATAATTTACATATTAATAGGTTACTAAAAATGTTTAAAGTAACTAACTAACTTTCCTGTATTATTTTTAGATATCACCAAACGATGGACTGCCACAAAAAATTTGCAGCGATTGCTTTACAAAATTCTGCTCCATATACACATTTCGCATGGCCTGCCAGGACGCACAGTTAAAGTTGTCGAATATTTTTGATAAAATCGATGCGAATTCGCTCTATGATAAAAACGACGAGGACAATATTGAGGTGGATGTGGATGAAATAGTAACAGAAACAACGACAACAACACAAAACACTGCCAATATTGAGGCCAACACGCAAACACCCATAGAAATCTTTGTGGAAACGATTAGCATCAACGAATCTGAATCCTTACAGCCAGATGAGGAAACCGATTTAGCTTCTGATTACAACACATTAAACATAAGCTATGCTTGTAAATTTTGTCACAAGCCACAGGAAAGCTATGAGCTGCAGCACCTATTACTCGAGCACATCAGTAACGCACACGATCCGGATCAGCCATACAACTGTCCGGAGTGCACAGAGTGCTTCCAAGATGCCGCCTCACGTACGGTGCATATGAAGAGCGTTCATGTCGTTAAGCATCACACCTGTGAGGTGTGCGGCAAAAAGTACGGAGATCGTCATAATCTCGACCATCATATTGAGAAATATCACTCGGAAACGGATTTCGAGTGCAGCCTGTGCGAGAAACGTTTCTTTACGCGCAAAAGCCTGCACTACCACATGAACTGGCACAATCCGGAGCGCCAGCTCAGATGTCGCCACAGCGGCTGCGACAGGCTGTTTATCAACCAACGACATCTCAAGTGTCACGAGGCAACGCACTCAACGGGCCCCCGCAAGAGCGAATACTGCGGCTTCTGTGGTAAAGGTGGGTGGCCTGCTTTCATTTTAATAATATACACTGGCAAATAAGCTATGAACTGGTCTGAATTACTTTAATATATGTTTTTATTAACGTACGTACATACTTCCAAAATCGCGCGAATATTAAACTCTCATCTGATAGTAGCAGGGATATACTCTTTTGAAGGGAGGGAAGGAGGAGGAGAGATTTTACGATTACCAAGACATGTTAATAAAACATCTAAAATCTGAACATGAAAGCCTGGTTGGCTTTTCTAAATTTATGAGAATCGCATAGAAAGGTCCGTCTGGTCTGCGAGAGAGAACAGACACATCGGGTGTTATTCGGACTCGAGCGGGCTAAGTTTTTATCTTATCGCATACTCGCTATATTCTTTTTTAAATCTCATTCTAAATAGATGTAAATTGAGATTGACGAAAAACAAAAGGTGCAAACAACAAGCCATTCAGTCACTAGGGACAGCTATATATATATATATATATATATATATGGAATAATTTAATTATTTATTCAATATCACTTAACAGCTTTCATACACGTTAAAACTCTACGTTGGCACATCTATCGACAGCATGGCGGAGAGAAGCCTTTTAAATGCGCCAACTGCACTGAGGGTAAGTTGATCTAGACAAGATGCAAGGCACCTAAGCCTAATTTAGACAATCAGTCAGTTGCTGTCAAAGATGTTTTTTACATTTCATTTTTCATTTTCACATTTGTTTTGTACAAATTAAATTTTGTAAATATTGTTATTTGAGATTGATTTAAGCATAAGCCTGAACGTTAACGTTTTCTTTGAGATGCGCACCCTTGACAGCTTCTAAAAGATTTCTAAATAGGTTTCAAGTGCACACATATAATAAAGTTCTTTTGTTTTGTGAGTTTAAAATCGGATTGAGATTTGCATAAGACATTGATAAGAACTCAAATCAAATACAGCTCACACAGCAAAAGTTCACATTTTACCAATAATAATAATATTAATAACTCATTAATGCCAAATCATTTGTCGCATCATCAAAACATTTATCGCAAAAGCTTTAAGATTTGCCCAAAAACTCTGAAGAAGTCAAATGCTGCTTTTTATTGTGTGTTAGTCAAGTTATTCGCAAACTAAGGGTAAACATGGCTCAGCTTTTTTTTAATACACCTATTAGCTAAAAAAAGAAGCATGCGAACAAACTTCATACATAATTCATATACAATTTATTGTACAATTAGTTTTTCAAATAATTTAATAAAAAACACCTTGCATAAATAAATATGTCCACACCCGAACCCCTCTGGAGCGCCGCATGCAAGCAATTATTACTAATTAATTATTGTTACATGACACCCCCAAGAATAGTTTCATAGTTTCAATCATTTATTTCGCCATACTAAGAGTTTTATTTTCCTTTGATTTTCTTTAACAAGTTTTTGGCTCCTATGCGGAAAAGCGCTTACACATGCTGGAGCAGCACACGGAAAATCTGACGCATCAGGAGCGCAGCGAATGCATGTTTCAGTCCTGTCGCCAGGAGTTCGACACCGAACGGGAGCTCATCCAGCACATGAGCGTTGAGCATGTGCAGCGCGAACCCTCCACTCCGATAATTGCGAATAATAAACGCGTGCTCCAGTGCAAACGGGAGCGACAGTATACGGGCCTCTTCCAGTGCGGCAGCTGTACGCAACGTTTCAACATGAAGTCCGCCCTGGAGCGGCACATGGCTGTCCATTCCGCTGACCGGCTGCATGCCTGTCCGCACTGCTCCAAGCGGTACAAGCGTGCCCAGGACCTGAAGTGGCACATGAAGACGCACGCCAATGAGAAGCCCAATGTGTGCGATGTGTGCGGCAAGGCGTTTGCCCTGAAATATGTGCTCACCCAGCATATGCGCAGTCATGAGGGTGAGTGGTCCCTTTTAGCCACTGTAGATGCATTTAAGTCATAGTAGACATAGTTGCTCTTAATATATATAAAATAGGCCAAATTTGAACCTGAGTTAAATAGTTTTCGAAAACAAGAAGAAATAGATTTCGAACTAAAGCATAGTTTGAACAATGTGGAGTGTCTAGAAGGCGAGGCATTCGGCTCGCAATTTTATTATATTTTTGACTTTTCTTTCAGTTCTTGAGAAGAACTTCAAGTGCGAGACCTGCGGACGGGCCTATCTCTTTGAGAAGTCTCTGCGTCTGCATCAACGCGTTCACACGGGCAACACCTACTACAAGTGCGATCTGTGCCAGGAGCGTTTTGTCACTCACATCAAATTTAAAAGTATTTGAGACATTTCTCTTATAATCATCGGAAATGAAAAATGTTTTCGAACTCTACTATAATTTCAGCTCATATGAAAAAGACACATGATAGCAGCCAGTCGAATGCCAAAGATACGCTGGATGATTTGATCAACATTGTGATTTCCTGAATTGTACCAATGATATAGTCCAAGTGGAACAGCAAAATGAAAACTATTATTCAGTTAGCAAAGCATCAAAAATACTGGAATACTATAAGGGTGAAAACGCTTTCAAAAAGTCACGCCCAGCACAGAATTTTTAAATCGTAGACCCTCCATTCAATCCTATCATTAGTCTTAACTTTAATACACATTCATAGTTGGATCATGCACAGGGTACTGTTATCTGTATGTAAAATTCATAGAACTACATATATTTCCTTTTTACTTTACTCACATTCTGCAGCATTAGCTCTAAGCTCTAACATAGCGTATTTTTTCCATCCAAATCTTTAATCTTGAATACCTATTTCCATGCCTCTCACATAATGCACAAACAAGACCATTTGGCGACCATTTTAGTGATAAGAAAAAAGGTAAAAAAAATGTATTTATGCTCGAAAATGAAATTGCATTTATTTAAAAAAAGTAAACACACATATTTACAATTACAATGAGATAAAACGTATTTTAAGAAATATCAACACCTGTAGTAATACCATGTATATAAGTTGTGTTAGTGCAATATATTTACCAAATACGAGTTCCATATACATGCAAAACATAAAATTAGAACAAAATGCGTTTTTTTTTGTTATGGCACCTTTAATTTAAATAAGAAATCGCGATAAATATCGAATATGCTCGAATATGTTAAAACGTCCCGTATATTTGACAGCCCTGTTTTTAATGGAGCTGCCAGAAGGTGTTAAAAGCATATGCCGCTAGTCTGTCTGGCAACTCTATTTCTTCGGTCTCTTGCAGCTCGCATAACACGTCAGTGTTTAGGTTTTTAAGAGGCCAGTTCCACCAAAATTGAGGCAAACGTATTTGCTAAGGTGCAATAACGAGTCGGTTACCGATCAAAATGGACACAAAGCCACAAATTGCGTGGTGATATTTATATATTTAAAACAAAGAATCGATTACGTTTATATTTTTGTTCTTCCCTAAAACGGACAAAATTAATCGTCAAGCGCGAAAACAACAAGCAGCATCTAGTAAGCAGGTGCAACGGCAAAGATTAGCAGCTGTGATATACAGACAATTGGAGGAGGAAGCAACCGTTAGCTGCCACGACATAACGTGTGACGTGTGTATCGCATTTAAATTTGATAATTCGCCTCGTCTCTCAATCCCAACTGGTTCAGACGCCCACAAACACGCACACGCCCACACACAGACATACAACACATACACGCACACAGCATAATGGCTTTGCCATTAAGCGATCTGCTGCTACTTGGCAGCGGCGAAAAGAAATTGGCAGCCTGTGTCCTGCTGCTGCTGCTGGAGCTCTTCATGGAAGGTACTTTACGGGTGGCCTAGTGGGGAGGGTTTTGGCAGTGTTCTAGAGATCAAGGCGTGTCAGAATTCAAAAACACCTTGCCTAGGCTTTAATTTGACAGTGCGTTTTGCATTCGTTCGACACACGCCTATCTCTTTTGTGCACTCTAATTGAAATAATCAAATTGATAACACTTGAATTCTATATGCTTTGGCACACGTCATTTGCAGGCGCCGATGCGGCATCACCAACTCAGGCGGACATCGACAATCATCTGGAGCTTGGCAAAGACTTTTTGGCACGTGGTCAGCTGTCGGATGCACTGACGCATTATCATGCAGCTGTTGGTGAGTAAAGAAGTATTTGCACACCACTTGGCCAGATATTCATACAACTGCATCCATTTTCAGAGGGCGATCCCAACAATTATTTGACACTCTTCAAACGAGGAACTGTCTACCTAGCGCTGGGCAAGACACGCTTTGCCATCCAGGACTTCAATCGCGTGCTAGAACTTAAGCCAGACTTTACAGCCGCTCGCAGCCAGCGTGGCACTGTGCACATGAAGAGCGGCGATTATGATAACGCTTTGCTAGACTTTGAGTATGTGCTCGGCGAGGAGCCACAAAATGCGCTCGTGCAAGAGCACTATTCAAGACTGAGGCCGGCTAAGGAGCAGTGGCAGCTGGTGCAGCATCTGCTGAACAATAATGATGAACAGAATGCCATAGGCATGATAACACAGCTGCTAGAGATCTCACCCTGGTCCGTGGCATTTAGACAGGCTCGCTCTGATGCCTACCTGAAGACAAACGATCCGCTTTCGGCCATTGCGGATTTGCGGCAGGTCAACCGCCTGTCACAGGACAGCACCGAGGGGCATTACAATATAGCAAAACTGCTATACACTATAGGACATGCTACTAATGCGCTGAAGGAGATACGCGAATGCCTCAAATTCGATCCCGAGCACAAGCTCTGCTTTCCATTCTACAAGAAACTGCGCAAAGTGGAAAAACAGCTAGTTACAGCGGAAACAGCGCGAGAGGAAAAACAGGCGGCGGAGTGCATAATCGCTGGCGAGGCGGTGCTTAAACATGAGCCCGAGGAGACCATGATACGCTACGAGGCGCACAAGCTGCTCTGCTCGTGCTACACCACAGACGAGCAGTATGTCAAAGCGTTGTCGCACTGCAAACAGGCGCTGGAGATTATGAAGGATGCGCAGCTGTATTGTGATCGCGCTGAGGCGCTGCTGGGCAGCGAGATGTATGACGATGCCATACACGACTACCAGGCGGCGCTCGAGATTGACGAAAACAATTCCCGCGCCAAGGAGGGCATACAGAAGGCGAAGAAACTGCAAAAACAGGCAGAGCGCCGCGATTACTACAAAATCTTAGGCGTGAAACGCAACGCCAGCAAACAGGAGATTGTGAAGGCGTATCGCAAGGCGGCACAGAAATGGCATCCGGACAATTTTAAGGATGACGAGAAAAAGGTGGCCGAGAAGAAGTTCATTGATATTGCCGCTGCCAAGGAAGTGCTCACAGATCCGGAGAAGCGACGTCAGTTTGATAATGGCGAAGATCCGCTCGATCCGGAGAGTAATCAACATGGTTTCCGTGGAGCAGATCCATTCGCACACTTCCAGCACGGTTCGCCGTTCCAATTCAAGTTCCATTTTAATTAAATGGATCTGTCGAGCACTGCGGCCAGTTGCCATTGTTCAGCCAGGGTTTATTTTTCGTGTTTTCCCCCACTTAATGCAGTCACTATAATATCCACAATCTATCCCTCCGCTGCCCGCAATTGTTTACGCACAACAATCGCGGCACTTTCTGTTTTGCCTACGCCCCCCAGGATAACCCCAAGCCTTACGATTTTACACTTGTTTGTGTTGCAACTCTTGAATAGCGTGTAAATATTAGCCTAAAGACAAAATCCGATAACTGAAACACACAACAACACAAAACTGAAAAACAATTAAATTTAATTAGTTTATTTAATATTATAATTGTAATGTAGTACATTTTTCTAATTATATATACATAAAAAACGATTAAGCAAAGCAAGACGAACTGAAATTGTTGATCAAAGTTTGGGTGGGAAAAGGACTAACGACAACGACTTGTCCAATTGCAACCGTCTCCATGCTCTCCAAAAAAAAAGGGACAATTTTATCAATATCCGAACAGTGTATCAAATGCCTACAATAGGAAATTTTCTTTCAAATTTTATCAAAATCGGACTAGCATATCATTTATATTTTGTACAAAAATATAATGCTTGAAATACAATATGCAGTATAAATCATTGGCTATTTATTCTGTAGAATATCCAGTCTTTTCGGCAAAGATAACTATGCTTTTTTGTTTATTAGGGATAAACAAATTATATAACAGAAGAGAGAATATTCATTGGTTTAATTATTGTTTTTATTAAACAATTTATAAGCAACAATTATGTTCAGATTTTATAAATTATAAATCTTAAATGCCAAATTAATTGTTACAATTCTAACAAAAACACAACCGAGCAAAGTTTAAAAACAAAAATGGATTCTTTAAATTAATAAAGAGCAAAATGTTTTTCCTTTTTTGGTTAGAAACTTACCTAATTTTTATATTTTAAATATTAAGCAAGTGCCAGATTTATAGTCATTAACTCATGATTACCAAATGAACCAGAAAACGAGAATATAATAAAGTTATGTATATAGGAGTTTTACATACAATGCTTTTACAGATGAGAGAAATTACAAACTAATTATTTGAAGAAGTCATTGTAATCCCTCAGACAGCGGGCGTGACTATCACATAAATAAGCGTGGCGAGCACAACAGCCAGCATCAGAAAGAAATAAAACTTGAGATGATATTGACGATCCAATGACGTAATTAGTGCACGAAACTGATTCATAGGAGCATTCGGATCCTCTTGCTGAATGGTGGACCGCATTTGTGGTCTGGCCAGTGGCGATGAACGTTTTCTCGTATCCAGCTGACGCGAAAAGTGGCTCAAATATGGCGAATCAGTGCTGTCGCCAGGTGAACGCTGATGTTGACGCCGCTGCTGAATCTCCGCCTCCGATTCGCTGTCTGTGTCCAGGTCCATGGGCTGTACGGTGTTGTTGTGCTGATCATAGAAATCGTTCAGTTGAGGATACAGCGAGTTCACTTTGTATGTGGGCTGCAAAAGGCGACCCCTGGCAAAGCCGCTGTCTCCAATGGTCTGGCGCTGACGCACCGCGGATGAGGATGTTCCCCCCAAATTAAAAGGCGCCGCAGAGCCACTGAAAGTGTTGCGCGGCGCCTGTTGCATGAGCGGCTCATTGTACTCGTTGCTTGCTTCCAAATAGCTGGTCGAGTTTAGCTGCGTTTGGGTGAGGCTTTGCCTGGACAGATCCGGGCGATAGCTGCGCTCAATACGTGGCTCATAGATGGGCAGCGTGCGCGCAGGCGCCGCCGCTACCTGTGGACGTTGATATGTATAGCTTTGCGGCTGTTCCTCTTCCTCGTAATGTGGCTTCTCCACCTCGCGAGTATATGAGGTGGTCAGCACGCCTGATTTGGTTAAGGAAACAGAGCGACGCAGTCGAGTGTCATCACGTTTCTGGGGTTTAACGCTAGGTGAATTAACTTGGTAGAAATCATCATCCTCCGACTGTGAGCCCACATCAGACACGGTTGTTGTCGTTTGTACAGTGCGCACAGGTGAACTATCCAACGGATAGTATTCGCGAGGTGTCACTCCAATTGTGCGACGACTATTGTTGTTGTTACGGCTCGGGCTTTTACCTGCCACACGCGGCACACTCGTGTCTATCACAGCTGCTGGTGTCGCCTTACTGCTGTGTATGGTTTCGCGTCTCGGCGTCTTCTTTGTTGCTGCAGCAGCATTTTTGCTTGGAACGCCTAAAATGGATGACTGCAAGCGACGCAATATAACTTTGCGACTGGAATCGGTGACCGGTATATTGGGCAGGCCATATTCTAGGCATTTGGCGTGAAGTTCCTTGTTCGAGATCGTTTCGAGATAGGATAGATCCGACATGCTTACGTCTGCTTGTGAAATATGTAAACAGAATTAGCGATGTCGTCACCGTTTGGAATGCTGTTGCGATTGACCTTTAGTTGTACACAAATTAGCGAACAAATTGTTAAATAAGCACAGTATTTATAAAGTGCACAAGCACAATTTTTTGCTCCAAATTAATTTTCCAGACTTTTCCAGAAAAAAGGATGCTTCAGATATAAACGACTTGCTGCCTTGCTGTTTAAAAACATACTAATCGACACTTAATAACACTAAATACTCGATATTCGTAAGTCATATGATAATCGAGGCCTATCGAAAATGGCGAAATCAGCTGCCATCCCTGGATAAAAATTGACTATCGACCGAAAAATACCACAACAAAAACAATTGTAATTTTTGTTTCCGACAATTAATTTGTGTGCCGCAAACATGTCGCTAACAATGCGAATTTTCACAGTATCGCGCAATGGTTAGTGAAAAGCTGGGCTTTCAATTAATTCAATTCGATAAACATATTTATATTCAAATTCATTAAATGAGGTTACGTAACCTTATGTCATAGTAAATCAGATTTGCTAGTGTCAATTTTTTGCTTGGATTCAATAATATAATATGTTTTCTGCACAGGTCAGCGGATGTTTGGCACTAACGGCGCACGTATGCTGTCTGCCAATAGAGCCGAGCCTAAAGACATCGTTAGTGTGCCCAAGGGCTATGTTTATGTTAACAATAAGGAGCTGAGCATGGAAATGGAGGACATCACAGATCGTGCTGCTACCACAATGTTCTTTGGTGAGCTCTTTCGAGGCTTTGCCGTCACACTGGCGCACATCTTCAAGGAGCCGGCCACAATTAATTACCCATTCGAGAAAGGACCGCTGAGTCCACGGTTCCGTGGTGAGCATGCCCTGCGCCGTTATCCAAGCGGTGAGGAGCGTTGCATTGCGTGCAAGCTTTGCGAAGCTATTTGCCCCGCTCAGGCAATAACCATTGAGGCAGAGGAACGTGCCGATGGCAGCAGGCGCACTACGCGATACGATATTGACATGACCAAATGCATCTATTGCGGTTTTTGTCAGGTAATTATTACCCATAAGTATCCCATATAAAACTCATGGTGTGTTTCCTTTGCAGGAGGCCTGTCCAGTCGATGCGATTGTTGAGGGCCCCAATTTTGAATTCTCGACAGAGACCCACGAAGAATTGCTCTACAATAAGGAAAAGCTCTTGTGCAATGGCGATAAATGGGAATCGGAGATAGCATCCAATCTGCAGGCCGATCATCTGTACCGTTAACTCTTATTGTACATATTAGAATTTTTGTTTAGAAATGTTTTTCCAATTAAAAAACGAAGTTGACCGGGCCACACTTACAACGTAAACACATTTGCGTGATTATTGTATTCGAAATAAAAAACAATCGCCATTACTAAATAATACAATTCGATATTGGAATATAATGCACTTGTAAATTCCTTGCTAAATTTTAATTTACTGGCCTGGACCGGCCAGGCTCTTCTCCATAAACTTCTTCTTGGCAAAGCAAGTCCACCATTTGTTTGGCTTGCCATCTTCTGTGCTAAATACTTTCTCGACTACCCGATTGCCTGTCTCGTGACGCAGCTGCAACAAATACTGACGCATAAGATCGGCATCCTGGGCGGACTGGGGCTTGGCGTAGACCGAATTTAATGGAAAACCAGCCTCGCCGGGTATATCGAATTTGGAGATGGCCAAACTGTACATCTCCTGTTGACCCTGAGCTTTGCTAGTGCAGCGGGTCAGTCTTTTAAGACATTCGGTTATATACAGCGTAATATAGATGAGTACACGATCCACTTCCGACTGTATGAACGACATAAGATATATAAATATATACACAAAGCACATGTACCTAGTCCAACACCTACCTTTACTTCGTATGTGCGAAAGAAAACATTTGCTTTAAAAAAATAAAGTGACTCATCAATAATATCACTCTCTACATTGGCGCTTGGGGCTGGTCCGCGTACCTGGGTTCGCAATGGCAGGATGGCCATGTTGCCCACCTGTTGGCGAAAGTCCTTGATTTGCGAGTGGTATGCCTGGAAATAGGTAAACAATAGATACGAATTTTATGAAGTACTTCACGTGTGGTCTAGCGTTTTAACGAAAACCAATCACAACTAGCTGGTATACCTATTTGGAATTGTTGTTGGCTACGCAAATTACATTAAATACTCACCGGCATTCTACAAATTTAATAGTTCGCGGCTTTAAACTGTAATTATTTGAGTTTTCTGTAAAAAAGAACTGGCGAAGCACTCACAACAATTTTCAGTATGAGTGCATTCGGTGTTTTGCAAAATACCAAAAAAATATATAAAAAATACCATCAACTTTCAAGTATTTAAGCCTGACGATGTTTTTCGATATATAAATATAATTTTTTTAAAAATATATTTACGCTCTCCAAGGGAAGGGTTTTTTGCGCATAATAAACATTAAAGATGTTTATTTCCCCCAATTTTTAAAATGAGATTGCTGTGAATATACTGTCATTACGGTAAAATAGCCTTTTGACATATTCTCATTATTTTACAGCAATAAGTAAATTCATTAATAATATTGATTTCAATCTTGAGAGTTTACAGAAATGCCGAAAATGAATAAATCAAATGCTGCTCAAAAGAAGGTAACTAGAAGGTATAAATTAAAAGCTAAAATTGAAAACGATCTTATTTGGTTACAGTCAGCTGGCAAAGGAGCTGTTAAAAAGCAAACGAAGGGGCAAACCAAATCTCCAAAGTCTGGTAATATTCCACCAGCTCCTGTAGTAAGAAATGAGGAATGCGCTGATGATACAGGCATCGATGTGATGGATATTAGTTTGGATAAGACAGCTTCAGAAAACAAGGATGATCAACACAAGGCGCAGTTGGCCTCTATTGCCTCGATGTCGACCCGTGTTGATGAGCATATAATAAATATTACGGCTTTGCAAAAGCAGTTGTCTGAACTTCAACTGAAGCAAATTAGTTTACTTGATGGATGCGTTAATTTCTTTCACGAGCTTCAAACATTCCAGGCCGAAAACGAAGAGGAAGAGAAACTTGTCCTGGAAACATTTATCGAGCTAAAAACTAAGGTCAAGATTGTGTTTAAACATTACTTGCCCACTGAAATAGATATATTGGAGCGCGATATGAAGATGATGCAATTAAACAATAGAAAACAATTCTAGCTCGAATATGATATTTAGTGTTGTTATATGCATTTGAATTGAAATAAAATCGAAAAATCGATAAAAAAATAAGGCCACTTTTATTGATATCGATAACAGTTGGAAGAGGAAGCAAAGCGCCAAAAACGGTATCTAAATAAGTGCATATTTAAAAATTGTGTTGCGAAATTAATATGAATCCGCCATCAGGTGGACGACCAGCTTCGAGATTTGTGCGCGGCAGAGCGCGCGGCGGCGGTGGCTATCGTCCATATTTCTATTTTCGTCGCAATGGCCGCGTTATACCTGCTGGTGGCAATCGTCAACCGGCAGCAGACCAAGCTTCAGTTCCAAGGGGTGCTCCACAGCCCCGCGGGTGGAGTCGTAGTCGGGCCGGGGGCGATGCAGCGAGAAAGCGAATGTCAAATGCGGCAATAGACTGTAGTTACTTGCGTCCTGAAAACTATGCTGCTCCAGAGGATGCATTGGAAGTGCGCAGTCTACTTGTCGACAATCCACAAGCTTATCCCGGTTGGCGTCTGTACTTTTTGCGTGAGGAGTACGTAGCGAACAGCGACCTGGCCAAGCGCATTGTTGCCGTGGAGGCGCACTACCAGCGTAATCCGCATATATATGACGCGGCTCGCATTCGGCAACGCGGCTACTTTCAGCTCTTAGCTCCGGGAATAGTGCAAGACGAACAACTCAAGGCAGTATGGCCAACGCTGACAGAAGATTTGCAAAGGCAGCCGCTACGTACACTCTCCACAATAGGTGTGGCCATGCACACAGTGGTCGTTAACAATGGCCTGGATGCTGCCGAAGAAGCTGTAGACAGCATACTGCCTTTGGGGACCACAAAAGAAATGTATGTGCCGCGCACTGAACGCACACGGAAGATTTATGCGCGTCTGGAAGACTTTGTGCCCGTCGAGCTGGTTAGTAGCATTACACATGCGCGCGTTGACAGCCTGTTTGCGGTGCGTGGCATTGTGAGAAGCGTGGGTGAACCCACATTGGGCCTAGCCTGGCAAGCATTTCGCTGTACACGTTGCCGTACGGAGCAGACGCTGCGTCAGCGAGGCAACTACACGCCGCGTCCGTATCACTGTCTGAAGCCACGGTGCGGTGCCAAGGACAATTTTCTGGCGCTGCGCAGCTCGCCGTATACGCGTCTCTCGGTGCGACAGATCATACGGCTGGAGGAGTCTAGTCTTGCCCTGCTGACGGACTATGACAGCACGCTGCCTGGTGAACTAGACATAGAACTACGTCACGATCTGGTTGATGCTGTGCACGTCGGGCAGGAGATTATAGTCACGGGTGTCGTAAAGTTGCGCGAGCTGTGCGACAACAGCGAACAGCCGTCGACTTCTGTTGGAGCAGCAACAACAACAGCCAGCGGAAATTTGCAGGTGTATTTACGCGCTTGCAGCGTGCAGCAGGCGCGGCACGTAAAGCTGGAATTTAGCGAACGTGATTTAGAGGCTATTTCGACGATAAACACGGAGCCCAATTGCTTTAAGCTGCTGGTGCAATCGCTGGCGCCGGAGTTGCACGGTCACGAGTTGGCCAAGGCCGCCTGCTTGTTGTCGTTGCTCGGCGAGAACATTAATGTGCTACTGGTCGGTGATCCGGGCATTGGCAAATCCATGATGCTGCAGAACTGTGCACAGATCACTGAGCGTGGCGCTCACGTAAGCGGCAAACGTGGCGCCCAAGCAGCCAATCAATTGGGCATTAGCTTTTGCGGACGCAACAAGCGGGTCATGGATGCGGGCGCACTACTCATGGCCGGCACAGCAGGTACTTGCCTTGTGGACGGTGTGGACAAGTTGGCCTCCAAGCAGACGCTGCTGCTACAGTGCATGCAAGCCGGAGAGCTGAATATGCCGTTACCAGGTCTCTTTGCCTCCTTTGAAGCACAACCCGCGATTATTGCCTGCGCCAATCCGCAGCGTGGGCAGTACGACCAGGCACGTTATTTGCTGCAGAATATTCGCATCACTGCGGCCTTGCTCAAGGAGTTTCATCTGGTCTATGTGCTGC